CTGCCCCCGTCCCCCAAAACGGCCCCTGGCTCCCCGGCACTGCCCCCAAGGTGAACGCCACACTGATGCTACCTCCAGGGACAACAGAGGTAGCACAGGCTTGAGGGGGGAGAGGGAGAAAAGAGTTTTGCAGCTGCGCGCCAGGTCCTGAAAGTATGTGGGCTGCATCCCCCCCTTCCAGAACAGCAGATGTGGTACCTAAAACACCGGTCTATCGCACACTGCGGACTTTGTTCCTCTGCTGCCTTCCTATGCGTGGGGGAGGGTCCGGGACCGGGACCCCGCCGGTAGCGCGCGCTGCTATGGGGAGCAGAGGAGCAAGGCAGGCGCTGCCCAAGCATTTGGAGCTGGCACGATCCAGGACTCCTTCTCCCACCGTGCAGGAAGGCAGCAGGGGAATAAAGTCCCCAGAGCACCGGCTCCAGCTGCTCAGGCGGTGTGCGCTGCTGTGGGGAACGGAGGAGAAAAATGAGGTTTACAGGATCTTTCAGAAAAGGTGGTTGTTGTGTTGGTTTTTTTTGTTTTTAAGAACCTCATCTAGGCAGCCGTTACACTTTCGAAATACCCGTTTTCGAAAACACATGGCCACCATTATGCAAATGAAGCACAGGAGATTCAAATGCAATTTCAATCGGTCTAATTTACATCCTTCTTTCGAAAGAGGGATGTAGTTTAGACATGCCCTTAAAGAAACCGCTGACAACTCTCCAGAGCCCAGCGGCAGGGCACCATTCCTCCCCCCCTGCCTAGACACTACGGGTATTAGATGTTTAATAAGGTAACCATGTAACCGCTAAAAAACTTAGTGGTTGCACTCACTGCCAGCTCGTGCAGAAGCTTTAAATAAACTTCATATGGCAGAGCCCGCAGCAAAGCCTTGCCAGGAGTGGGGCTACCAGCCTGGGACAGGGGCAGAGTTTAACCGATAGCATTTACCAGTTAACCAATGAGTTAATACTTAACCAGTTAAAATAACCTCCCTACTAGAAACCTGCCCCCCCGCTGCCCAGAAGCGCTCACATACCCAGTGATGCAGAGGGAAAAACAGCCTGATGCTGGATCCAGGACTGTATGGAATTTCCTGAATGCCAACTCCTTTCAAGCATGCCAGGAACTGCAGCCCCCAGGAGCTCTCCAGCTCTGCCTCTCCTTCCCCCTGGCAGCGCCTTCTATTTCTGAGCGGAGGAATTGGGCTCTGCAGGGTCCAGTGGTTCCTAGTGGCAGCTAGTAGCTCTGCAACGCTAGCTCTGCAGGCAAGAGCAAACACCTGCGCAAATTCTGCATGGCACCGAATTCTCCAAAGAGTCATCTCTGTGCCAGAGTTTTACATTTTCTATGGATTGCTACACTCTGCAGAGCACATGCTGAAAGCTGGGTGCTCACAGACAAGCTCTCCCTTTTCCAGCCGCTAAATTTCAATGCACTAGGCACCTCGGTAATCATTACTTTTCTATGGAAACAACGGTCTCTTACCAAAACGATTATTATGCAACTGTGAATGGGAGGGGAGGTTGTCCAAGCAAATGTGAACAGAAAGTGTTCCTGTTCCCACAAGGCAATCTATATTTAAAATTATGTCCACGCTGTAAAGAAGTTTGAGACTCTCAACACACACACACACACACACACACTACATTGCTACAAATAAATTTAGCATCAACAAGTCATGACTTTTTGCCCCATGGTCTGACCTACCCATACGGGATTCCATTTTACTTTCGAAAAGTAAAATCTACGGCTTCTTTCCATTCTAAGAATCCACACTCAAGGAACATGGTGCTGAAACATTCTTAAAAGGGCAAATCTAGCCCCATTTGTATTTTTAAGTACAGGAGAACATGCCAAGTTCTCTCTACCTCCTTCACTAGCCTTTGAGTTATAATCAACACATGCCAGTTTGAGCGAAAAGGCTCCTCATAATGCTCTCTCAAACTCTATTTACGCATCAGTAACTTTTAAAGAATGTAGTAGATCTGTAGACAAAAGTCCTATTGTTGTACACGCCTCTCATGCATTGCCTTTCTAAATATACCCTTCTGTGCCTCTTAAAATGCCAAGAACATTTTTGTTTCATTCCAAAAGCCAGCCCAAGACTGGATAAGAGGTGAGGTTTTGCCAGTCAGCTCAGGTGTATATGCACACAGAACCTGCAGGGGAAAAATGGGATGTGCACAAGCAAGAGCAAGTCCAGTTCTGTGCTCCAAATATTTAAGACCGACACGTGGAACCACCTCAACTCCAAATTCATTAATGCAAAAGAAACATACCTGATACACGAGTCATCCTGGTGGAAAAATAGCACTGCTCCAGGTCCTCAAAATGAGCGGTGAGTCTCTTCCGCCTTGACGCCAACGTGCTATTGTACCACGGCTGTTTTTTAGTCTGAGTGAAGAACGAGAAATACTTATTCAGAGAAGAGGCCCAGGCATGGCTTTGCCTATTTTGGTAGATTTTACCAAAGAGCCAACAGTCTATAGACATGCCCTTTTATTTTAAGAGGTTATGAATCTGGAAGAAGACTGAAGGCTGTATTTCCACATGCAACTGCTTCCTATGGGTCTCACGTCACATCTGATTATTTTACTGACAAAAAAGTCAGTCACATACCTGTAATTCTTATTATCTGAAGACAGTAATTATAATTAGATAACTCCTGGCCTTTAGTCTCAGGCATGAGATTCAGAAGCCAACAAACAATAAAATCCTTACTGAAAGGGTAGAGGGAGAGTAACAGATCATGCTCCTCATGGATCTAGCCTCTAGAGAGCACAATATCAATTTCTCCCAACCATCAGTTCCTTTCCAAACAAAGGAAAATGTGCAAGAATCTCCAGTCAGATGATAAGTTGAGATGGCTGAGCAAAAGTTTTTTAAAAACTATTTTAGAAGAACAAGAATTATCTAGGAAGTAATTCTATTCTATCTAAAAGGACAAATAGATAGGGTATAGGACTGAGTCTACTATGAAACCACCATGTTCAAGGGACAGCTACCATAAACAAAGATCTGACTGTATCTGAAGTTAAGAACGTTGCATATGAAGTCTGGAAAGCTTATGAAGACGTACTTTCCACCCCCAGCAATTAAAAAAAAAACTGGGGGGGAAAAGGAGGACTGAAACTTTAAAATTGTTTTTAAATTGCTCTCACCACTAAAGAAATAGAAAAATAAATAGCTCCTACTCTCCTCATATATTTGTATTACTGCAAGAAAAAAATAGATCAAGCTAACACAGTGAGGTCCTAGTCCAGGACCGTCCCCTATGGAGTCCATTAGATCCGTTTAGAGCAACACCAGTGCTGCTGCTATCACAGGATAATTAACGAAGCAAGAAATCCTGGCTTCACTGAAGTCAATGGGAGCATTTTCACTAACTTCAAAGGAGCCAGGATTTCAGCCTCAAGTTAAACACGTCCAACATAATTCTTGCCTGCATAATATGCATTTTGCTCTCAGTTCAGAAATGCAAGTCTTCCTCACACTACAACCAGCAAGAAGCCAACAAGGACATAATTACATTGAAATTAAAAGACTATACCCTATGAAGTGAACACAATGTGAATGAGTAACCTGGAACAAAATAAAGCAATGAAAACTTCAACTACCCATCATGTAAGATCCTTGGCTGTGTATTGATGGGATGAACCATACGTTCACGATTGCCACTTCACTCCAATTGCACATGTTGTAGGGATTCATTTTCGTATTGATAGCAATTCAGCATTATGCCAAATGCTCCTGACATTAAGCAGCTCTACTTCACTGAGTTTTGACAATAAACTACACACGACAGCTCTGCATGTTGCAGTCAATAGCTGCAATTACCATATTGATGTTAAATACATGGACTCTCTATCACTGGAGATACTGAAGAGCAGGTTAGATAGACGCTGTCAGGGATGATCTAGAGCAGTGGTTCCCAACCTGTGGTCCGCGGACCCCTGGAGGTACTTTGGGGGTGGGGGGGCAGGTGTCTGTGGAAAGTTGGGAGCTGAGAGGCTCTGTGCCAGGAGCCAGCAAGTCCCATGGCCTGCGCTGCTCCCTGAGTGGGCCAAGGGACACAGCTTGGGAAGCAGCGTGGGCTGAGAAGCTGTCAGGGATGATCTAGAGCAGTGGTTCCCAACCTGTGGTCCGCGGACCCCTGGAGGTACTTTGGGGGTGGGGGGGCAGGTGTCTGTGGAAAGTTGGGAGCTGAGAGGCTCTGTGCCAGGAGCCAGCAAGTCCCATGGCCTGCGCTGCTCCCTGAGTGGGCCAAGGGACACAGCTTGGGAAGCAGCGTGGGCTGAGAACCGTGGCGGTGGTCCGTATGCTGGAAAAGGTTGGCAGTCACTGATCTAGATGGTGCTTGGTCCTGCCGTGGGGGCAGGAGACTGGACTTGATGACCTCTCGAGGTCCCTTCCGGTTCTAGGATATGATTCTACATGAACCAGGACTGCAATTGCTTTAGTCTCTGCAAACTGCCTACCACAGATTCGAGAGACCTGCAAGCAGCAATGAGCAATCGCTTCCGTTTCAAAGTTGACACCACTGCCTGGAATAGGATGAGCGATAATACCTAAACCTGGATCTGCCAGATAGTTCCAGTCTGTACTGAGATGAAATCAATCACATACGAAGTAGCTAAGATGACTAGAACAGCTATTACTAGATCTTAAGAGCCAAATTCCCCTCCAACGGGTTTCAGGCTGATGAGCAGCGACCGAGTTGTGCTCAGAATCAGTCTGCATTAAGCTGTCTTGATCAGCTAAATGCTCGGCTGTGCCTAATCTAATGAAGCATCTATCAAGCTTGTAGGCAAGGAAATCTGCTCATTGGCTACTCAATCAGTTTCTAAGCAACACTAGAATACAGGTAGAAAGATAGACAAGCAAGAGGCTGACGGGGGGGGGGGGGGGGG